GTAGTTAACTTACGAAAACACAGCAAGTGCTCATTGAACACATTTGAGTCCCTATCGAATTAAAAATTATTTACTTCTAAAATAATTGCCATGTGCTTAGAAATACTTCATCTTTTAAAGATTTTCAAAAACTCATTTCATGCCATGCTTTGAAAAAATCAACAACATATCACTACCTACCACTTGTATACTTGAATTGCTAGAATTTAAAAAATATAAAAGACAAAAAAAAAAATCTAATTCTACAAATTCAGAAAGTAAAGGTCTAACATGAACCAATGAAAATAGTTCAACCTCAAAAGCAGGGAAAACAACTAGCCAAATATGAGAGTTAAATAAGGAAAAAAGGCATCTTAAATAGTTTCTTGATGGAAGAATGGAAAAGAGCATTCTAAGCATCAAATATATTTTTTTGAGAAACAATAAAACATAATCAGAAATGCTTTGCTTAAATGGATTAACATAATACAATTCAGATGTGGCAAGAACAAAGCTATGTAAGCAAAGTAATTAAAAACCTTTAATTTTTCATGTGCTTCACGAACGGTTTTACCATCTTTCTTTTTCTTCCACTGATGGCCATCTTTACGAAAATAACGGAGTGCCTTTCGATCAAATATAAATAAAGAACCACCTAACCCACAATATCAAAGATATTAATGTGCACTTCAGACGCTTGAATTTCTTAAATTTTATCTATCACCAATATAATCAAACAGCAGGTACGTAAAAGAAAAAGGAATGCCGGAAGATTTGATAGAAATATGGCACCTGTGCAAAACAAATGGTAGTGCTCATTCATGACGGACATCATACTAGCAGCTAAAAGTTTAGATAAAATGAAAGTCTAAATAAATTCACAATCAACAAATACAAATGAACTGATGAGCTTCATGAAATGCATTTATTTGAATATGCATGTCAGAAAAGCATAAAAAGCTATGTTCCTATTTATAATTATCTTCAATTCAAATAATGGATAATAAATGAGCGAGGGAACCCCAAATAATTAAGATAAGGCAAATGATGATGATGAAAATGATCAATGCTAATAACCCGAAAATATAAGCACAAATTAAAAGGTTATATATTATTGAGAAAAGGTGATAGCATTTATAGCCAACAAAAAATGTTACTAAACTACTTAGAAAATATATCATTGCTCATTGCTAGTTCGCAGCGCAAAAGTATATATTGTGTCCACTTTCCATTCCAAGAACCTTTAAACAAAATTGTAGGCTCCAAAAATTCGACCTCGACCACCCCGACTGCTTTTTTCGGGGGAGTTTTAACAGATTAAGTTTCGGGATAAATTTTGGGAAGGTAGATGGGTTTGTAGATAAAACACTACCCAGAGATTTCGCCCTCATTTTGTGAGGACTTTATGATCTGAGTTCTGGTTTCCTATAGGTGCAAGCCCCTAGAGTTAATTACCCCTCCTGGTAACGAGAAAGAACTTTCGATTAAGGCTAGTCGTCGATCAGATACGTCAAGATACCTATTAACTAGCATATAGTAGCAACATGGGCATTTGAAATGGTTGGAGAATTGATATTTAAAATTAGAAATTTCATCATCTTGCACTTAAAGCGGATGCTGGCGGAATGGATAATGGACCCGATCAAGATCCCATGGTTCCATCATCCCGGACCATCATGATCCCTAGTCAACTTAATCAGAGGAGGTAGTCGACCCAACCTGACAGAATGATCCTTGTCAACAAGCATGGGTTGCGTCGTCCAAGGGTACCTTGTAGAACTGGAGTGGGTATATGTCTAAGGGAACAAATTTGAATCCACCTTAGCTAAAAGAGGGCTTTGTGCCCTATCGATTATATCATATTGATTCATATCTCAAGAATTTGATACCACTAAGGAACGTATTTGCTCTGGCCATAACTGTTATCTCGTGGTGCCATTTTGCGGCAGAACCACTCGGTTCAGAGGGCCCCGGGTCATAACCGTTTATCATGCGATGTCATTTGGTGGCAAAATCGCCGGTCGGAGAACACGTACCACGTCCTTACTGACAGGAGATTATTTGAGAATAAATCCTAGTGATATTTTTGACTAGGCATTAGTTGTATGTGAGCTGAAGTAAATTTCAATTTGTCCATCCTGGCAAACTATTGCGGATAGTGGATGGATTTTACTTTAAGTTATTTGATGGATTATTTCAATTTTAAATATTTTGGATTTTGTGACTTTGAATTTTTGGGTTTTGGGAGGTATTTGAAGTTTTGGAATTGACCCCTCCGGTTGAAATATTCTATCAACACGGCCATCATCGGGGTATATGGGATCATTTGAAAATACTTGAATTTATGAAAATTGGAACTTTGTGAAAATTTGGAGACATTTGAAATGGTTGGAGTTAACCCCTCCGGTTGAGATAGACATTTAACATGACCATCATCGGGAGTTTGGGGTTACTTCCATCTGTGGGTTGAATCTTGTCGGCTCTGTCGAGTTGTCGACAGAGGATCGGGTTCGTTGATTGCTTAATGAATTTTCTTTGTTGGAGGCCTTGAAGGCCTTATATGAACGTATAAAACAGATATTCCGGTCGACACCTTGACCATATATCTATTTAATAATTTAAGTCATGTTGATTCATATCTATCTATATAAAAGGATAGGCTCAAACTACGTCTATTTATTAACTCGCGCAGCATCTCTAGACATCATATGTGTACCCATAACACCTTCGTTGGGGCTCATGCGGGTGTTTGAGGGTATTTTATAATTGTTTACTGAACCTTGTCGACTCCTATTTACGTGCTTAGAAGGATCGGGTTCAAATTTATTGACTTGGGTAGCATCCCTAGATGTCGCGTGTGTTCCTACAACATGTTTATTGGGGCTCATGCGGGTGTTGACGCATATTTTCGTATCGACCAAACCTCGATCGAGCCCGACTAGGCTCGATCGCGCTCGATCAACTCAATCGATCATCGTAGAGGCAAAATTGACCCAAATCAAACCCTGATTTAATTAAATTAAATCCAATTGAATTTAATTAAAATCAAATCAAAACCAATCAAACCCCGTTGAGCATCGTCGAACCCAATTCGACATCAATTCGAGTTCAATTTCATAAAATTAAATTGATTGAACCCAATCGGACCCAAACCGACCCAAATCGGTTCGGGTCGAGTCCAATTCAGACTCAATTTCAACCCTAATTTGTCAATTTGGGTTGAATTTGATTTTCAAATCTGAAATTGAAATCAAGGGCCCAAATTTCATCTTAAATCCATTCAATTTCATGATAAAACCCTTGCTTCAAGCGTGAGGGCTCGGATTGGCTCCTTTCGGCGGTGGCTTACTACTGCTTTAGGGCACGCAAAGGAGAAAGGGGGAGCATTCGGCTCCCCCGTGCGTGTTCTTCCCGTCCCAAGCGAGAAGAAGAGAGGGAGAGCACAGGAGGGAGCCTTTCGGCTCTCTGTTTCTGTGTCCGTCCCAGCCAAAGCCGAAGAGAGGGAGGAAAAGAGGAAGGTAGAGCAGAGGTTCTCCTGCATGCCGGCCCTACCTAGCCGCCGATCTCATCTAGAGACCCAAACGAGTCCAGCCAAAGGGAAGAAGAGGGTCAGCCGAACCTGTATACGCTTCCTTGCTAGTGTTTTCCTTCTTCCTTGGACCAAAAGAGGGAAGTTTCTCTCTATTTTCCTTCATCTCTTCAAGTGGAAGAGCAAAGACCTGCTTTTTCTTTCCCTCAAGCAAAAAGGGGAGTGTTGGAGGATAGTAGAGAGACTTGGATGATGTCTACTTGCTGTGAGGACTTCTCCTTCCTCCCAAATCAACTCCGGCGACCTCAAAACAACAAAAACTGCTGTTTGGAGAGTTTGGACAGCAAGTGACGGCCTCCGGGAGCACTCAAACAGCGAAAATTGCTGTCCGGAGCAGTTTGGACAGCAAAATCATCCTTCGAAACGCCTTGGACAGCAGGTTAGAGGCTTTTGGAAGCTTCCAAACAGTGCTTGGGAGGCTTGAAAGCACTTGGACAGCGGCGGTGCATCCGGAGAAGCTTGGACAGCAGTCTTCTTCCTTGGGAACATCTTGGACAGTGACTTGGAGCCATCAAAGGAACTTGGACAGTGCTTGGAGCTTGGTTTGGAGCGCTAGGACAATCCGGGAGAGGTATAACACTAAAACTTAGGCAAAACCTTAAGGTTCCCTAGCCAATGACATGTGGTTGACGATACAAAGCCTCAGGTCCCTAGAAACTTTGATTTTTTGGTCCCCCAAGATCCCTTGGTTTGCTGTCCACTTCGCGAAACTATGAAAATTTTGTGATTTCCATTTGTTGGCTCTCATGTGAGGGCCCGAAGAGGATTTCGATGCGTGTAGAGGTGCCGAATTGTTATCCAACACCTCTCAAATGTATGTTTGTGCATCATATCGAGCTTGACACCCATCGCCAACAATCATGCACTAGGGCAGATGCTATCATTTGACCTCAAAGTCAATGATAACGCATAGGTTTGAATTGTCACTAGTTGCATGCACTTCTCATTTAGATGCATTGTCATGACAAAATAGACACTCAAATCTAGGAGAACTTTTGCATGCATAATATTAATTACCTCTAGAGTTTTTTATTTAATGCATATATTGAATTTAATTGATTTGGGCATTTCTAGTTATTGTGAGACATAGACTTTCAAGGGCCTATGTAGCAAACCTCACAACATTAATGATCAATTAAATTTATGCTTTCCATCACATGAAACTTAGAGTGTAGCGTGACAATCTTGAATTGATTGTTTGTTGAAGCAACCTAAGTATATGAGGATGTTCATAAGCTTGAAACTCATCCAAATTGCATGCACCCTTCTTTCAAGTACGAGTCATGGAAAAAATGACTTACGAGTTGAAAGAAGTGTGAATATGTTGAAGTTTATGAACTCTAGAGAGCTTTTGTGAGTGTTTGAATATGAATGTAATCAACCAAAGAAAAAATCAAATCATTGTGAGGTCTACCATAGACTTTCCAAAGTCTATGTTGTAGATCCCACAAAATAAATTGTTGGTTAAGTTTATGTACGACATTTTACAAAACAAATGTTTGATTGCTTTCAATGATCAAAAATCCCTAATTTGGATAATCATCTACACATGCATGCATTCCTAGGTTTTTCTTAGATCATACCAAATTTGATCTTAAGTTTCCTAGAAGTCATAGGGATAGATCTCTCCTCTCCAAGGATTTCTAAATCATGTCAAAATTGATTTGGAAACCTTCCCAAAGCCTTAGGAAATCAATTCTCCCTCTCCTCATTAAGTCCAAAACACTCTAAAGGATATAGGGAAATTCCTTTCAAGCATGCATCTCCTCTTTTCATGAATCCAAAACATTCATGGGGAGATGGGGAATCCCCTTTTGTGCATAATGCTTGGAGCATTCTCAAAACTCCAAGTTTTGGATTGCGTGAATCATTTGTAATTTAGAACCAATTTCCAAATTCTTTCATCTCTTTTGTTGGAACATAAACCAACAAATACCCCCTTCATGTGTGATATGTTGGAGCACCCTCAAAGCTCTAATTTAATCTATCACATGAATCTTTAGGATCTTAGCACCAAATCCTAAGTCCAAACCTTTCTTTGTTAAGATATGAAATTAACAAATGAA